TTAAACGCTCGAATTTCTAAAAAAATGCAACATTGTAAAAATTGAGTCAAAGAAATTAGAATGCAAAGAATAGGAAAAGATTTATAATACGATGAATGAACACAAATTCTTATTAAACGCTCGAATTTCTAAAAAAAAACTTCTGTAACGTAAATTCGCGAAAAATTACTCTAAAAAAATTGTATATATTGATCGTTCTGACCAATTAGGTTTTTTGGTAGTTCTAGTGTTAAGAAATTGCACGCGTTTCAAGGAATAATTGGAAATCAATTTAGATTAAGATGACATCGATCGACACTGTCAAATGGAATGTACATAGTTTCTCGTTCGATTGGTACAAGCCGGTACGGAGTTTGCCGTATAATTCTTTGGTTCGATATTTAATAATTCCAGTACTACGAGATAAACATGACATTGGGTTATTTCGTAGGCACAAATTTATTCTACCATTTGTAACTTTACTTTCGTCGAACCTCTGACAATTTTCTTCTTTCAATTTTTGGCATTGATCAAACAAAAGCAGGCTTAAAATCGTATGAATATATGAAGAGTGCGACATAAGCTTTGTCATAAATTCACCGTGAATGGATAAATGAAATGAAAAAGAAAAAACGAATTATATCGACCAATTAAATTGAACATGTGACGCACGTGTGTAGGTGTAGGAACATGCAAACACTTGATACCATTACATTAATCAGTATAGTGTTTAGGGCATAATTTGTTACATAAGGAAGCGTGGGTAGTGCGTCCTTATCATGTAACATCCTCGTGCAGACAAAAGTAACGAGCAAATGCAGTGTCACTCATAATTGCTCGTGCTAAAAATACATTCGTATCTTAAGAGAATAAAAATTCTTTGGATGAAATCAGTATTAATGTCCAGTGAATCATCTCGTATAATCATTCGATATCGTAATATTTCCTATCGCGAAATATCAGTCTTATTTTTCAATTAGTAGATAGACATTTGATTATTTAGAATATTCTTTAATTTTCAGTTGGAACATTAAAAATGTGTCTGATAAGATGTCTGTAATATCAACAGAGTATATTTTGACCTCTCGATTCACAGTATGAAATATCTAGTCACAACTATTCACTTTTTCCAATTCTCATAAAAACTTGCCTTACTTGCCTTGCTTCACTTGCCTTATAAATTGAATTTATTCAATTTCCACCGAACGAAAAAAAAAAAAAGAAAAAAGAACGAGGAACAAGTAGGCGCGAAACTTTTCACCGGCCGAAAACAGTTTATTTTGATACGAAACATCACATTAAAAACATTTTAAATAGAAATTAAAAAAACGCTCTCTGTAACATCAACAGAGTATATTTTGACCTCTCGAGTCACAGTATGAAATATCCAGTCACAAACTATTCACCTTTTCCAATTCTGATAAAAAAAAAAGAAACACGACTTGCTTCATTTACCTTATAAATTGAATTTATATTTCCACCGGACGAAAAAGAAAACAAAAAAAAAAAAAAAAAAAAAAAAAAAAAGAAAAACAACCAAACAAAAAAAAAAAAAAAGAACGACGAACAACCATGCGAAAGATACGAAACTTTCGTTCCGGAACATGAAACGTTTGAAACCGATCCAAAAAAACTGAGAGGCGGCGCAATGATAGTGTCTGGCTGGGCAAATATCCGGGGAAATATCGTATCGCTTTCGCGTGTTCCGGCAGAGTTCATTCATTTTTAACCTACTCAATTTAGGCCTCGCGATCACCGCGCGTTATCGTTTCTCCGGTTTCGCTCTCTTTAAGCAAAGCAAACAAACACCCGCCCCCTCCTAGGGAAAGCGCAGTACCGCTCGAATTCTCAACGAAATCCCGGTTGGCAATTTCGATCGGTCACTTTCTCTCCCAGGTTCACGAACGTTCCTCTCCGTGATTCCGCTGCGTCTACGACTCGAGATTCAAAATCTCCGCACGAAACGTATATAGTAATCGTGTAACGAAGCTGCGTGCAACGAGCAATTAACCGTTCGCGTTCTGGGCCAACGAAAGGTCATCGCTGCCGCCATGATTTGCCGGATCCGTCGGGAACACATACTGCAGAACACGTCGCCTCGATATTTATTACGCCACAAATAGTACCATTTCTCGAGGTACCTAATTATTTTTCTCTTTCCTTTACGATTTGAATCAAATATGAACTTGATACTCAATTCCAGTTATTCTTGATTTTCGTCTCATTCTCGCAAAACCACAAAAACGAGGAAGTTACGAAGAGATTACGACAGAGAAATTTTCGAACAGCGATCTATCTTATTACAATGTCGTTATGTACGAGTTGTACAACAACGATCTTGGAAAGATGGGCTTCAACCACTTGCGCCTGGCAACCGATTGCGGACCATAACGAGCGACCGAGCCGTATACAAATAATTCGTCGCTTTCTTTTCCTTTTGAACTCGTCGATAGTATGATATTAATGGATGGAAATTACTGTGAAGTAATAAATTTATTATTTGTTTTGCCTTGGTTATACTTAAATATACGTAAAACTGAGAAAAAATTGCACTTTTGGGCCAGATATTCTCGACGTGCGTGTCACGTCATTCCAGCGCAAGAGGTTAACACTAAAACTACCAAATTGGTCAAAATGAACAATTTATAATTTTCTATGGAAATTTTGTATATTTATGACGGTGTGTTTTTAAATACTCGAGTGATTTTTAATATATATTAAATTATATAAATATAAATAATATAAATATATAAATATAATATATAAATATATATAAATATAAATATAATATATATTAATTAAATTAAATTAATTATATTAATACATATTTCAAAATATATTAATAGAAGCTTTTTATTCTTTGTTGTATCATTAACTTTCTTCTGTATCCTGCACTTTAATTTCTTTGCTACGAATATTATAGTTCAGTTCTACTGTTAAAAGAAGCAAGAACGAAAGCAGAGATCGTTATAGATCGCGAGTACAATCAAAGAACAGAGGTATCTGTGGAGGAATTTCGTTGCTTTCACCTCCGTTTTCTCCGAGCATTCGACAAGTTCAAGAACAACGACGCACGGATAACACGGACAACCGTGCCGTAACGATTCGTAACGATCTGTAACGAGCCTAAGAGTAGTCGAATACGATGTTAAAAGTTGTTAAAAAAAAGAAAAAAAACCACATTAGCAAACTATTATTCAAGATTTAGGATCTGGCATCAAGTTGTTCAAGCAAACGTAAGGATACAATAAAACGAGAGAGAGTCGGTGGGTGAGAATAATTTTACTGCCGGAGGTTTCTCTTATGGCTTTTCCTCATTTTCACAGTCTCGTGAAAATCTCCGACGAAAAGCGAACAAGGGAAATCGGGCAGTGTAACGATTTTTATCAGCTGCCTTTTTCTTTAATTTTTAAGTGAAACACGACGATTCGAGTCGAGCATAGTCATAAATACACTGGCTGAGAAAGTGGAATAATTTCATGCAGCATCCAATCATCTTTCCACACCAATTGTACATTATTTTTTAATGAATTAAATAACCCGTTTATTTGTAATTAACTAAATAACCCATTGTACTTTATTTTTGAATCCAATCATGTTGCAATTGATCTTTTCTAAAAAAATTAGAAGCTATCGATTAAAGAGTTGAAACTTATTAAATTAACTTCAAACTTCAGACGTCGTTTAATTATAATCAAACGAAGAGCCGAAAGTTTGCTTTTCTGTTTATCTGGCAATGCAGTTCAATCGACGAGTTTCTAAGATTTTCGCAATTAAGAACTGAGAGACGAGACTACTTTGGTAATTTCGTATTGCAATAAATCGGAAATAAAAATGAAGGTAAAATTGAAAGTAACAATATAGAGAATTAATTCGTTCTCGTTCGTCAGAGTTATTCGTTCGTTTCACGCACTGTTCTACCCGTGGACTAC